AACCTTAAGAACTTCCTATGGGAACAAATGATGGGAATGTGTAAGTAAGCTTCCGTCAAATCAAAGGAAGTCAGGAAGTCCCCCTGCCTAACGCCCCCCAGAATGGTCTGGAGGGAATGCATTTTAAAACGCCTATAAACAATAAACTTATTGAGTCATTTCAGGTCAAGAATTGTTCTGCACTCCCCCGCCCCTGTGGCCTTGGGGATAATGAATGGAGTAAAATCCCGTCCCCTGTTGGTCCAGAGGGACCTTTTGGATAGCTCTGAGTTCCAGCAGATGCTGGATAGCTGACTTTGTGAGCCTTCTTCTCCTTGAATCCCTAGAAACCAGGCAGGAGATGAAAAACCTCAGAGGAGTAAAGTAGAACTCAAGTGAAAGACCTGATCTTACAGTGCTTAACACCCAGGTGTCAAAAGTAATCTCTCCCCATTTGTCGGCAAACCACCCTAAATGACCACCAATGGGGAAAGAATGGGTAATGCTAGCAGTGGTGATGGTACAGGCGACTTCCTCCTCCTCAAAAGGGCCATTTGGCCTGTCTGCCCTTGCCTGAACGATCTGGAGTCAGCTCAGGATGCTCGATCCACTTTTCCTCTGCTTTGAGGACATCATCTGGATCAGAAGGAGTTGAAGATGTGGAGGCCAAAGCAGCCACCGGTGCATCCAGGGCACCTGAAGGGACTTGGTGAGCTCAGGGCCAACACTGAAGAACCTGCAGTGTGAAGAAAGGGGATTGGGCCCTGAGGCAGGTGACTCCAGTTGTTTCCAAACGACCTTCAGCAAAAGCCTGGGAGGTGGAACAACTTCCTTCCTCACCTCTGGTTCATCAAAAAGAATATCCAACTCCACTGGAGACTGGGTAGCTGCTGCTTCATCATCTGCATCCCTCAGGTTGGCCATGTTTCTTGCTTTGTACAGCAAGGGAGAGAATAAGGCATGTTTAAATCATCCCATGAACACTGGAATCTCATGGGAAGGACTTCATCTTTTGTCATATCAGATTCCCTCTTATCAGGTTCACCAACCAGGGTTTGTTCAGCAGCCACTGCAGAAGCCGAAACAGAAACTGGTTCCTGAACCAGAGAACTTCTTTCTGAAAGCAGAGCCTCTCGAACCCGGGACCTTCTCTCTGAAATCTCAGAAGCTGCTGAAGAATGTTGGGCAAATCTCTGCATACCGTCAGAGATACTTTTCCTGATGGCCTTGTCAATCTGAATCAGAAGACTCAGCAGGTCTTTGTCCTGCTGCAGCAGGGATAAAGGAGGCTTCCACCCAAGGCCTACTGCACACACGCTCCTGCCAAGGTACCACCCTGAATCCTCCATAGGGATCACCTTGATAACTTCTCTCCTCTGATGGGTGAGGGGAGGCCTCTCTTCTAGCTGCATCTAGGGATCAAGTTTGGACAATGGCCCTGGTAGTACCAAGTTCTTGATCCTGAAGGTCCACCTCGCTGAGATGCAAAGCAATTCTTTTTCTGTAGATCTGCAAATAGAGGCCTGTTGTACCTTGGCAATATGCTTCTCTAAGGCCTGCTGGCACCTGGAAGCATCTCTTTCCTCTGCCTTAGAGGCCTTCTTTGCCTGCTTTCCTTTGTTACTTGAAGCAGCAAGAGCTGCCTCTGAGATTTAGCTGCTCTAGATGCTCTGGTGTCCCTAGGGGTTTCAGACATCTTGAAAGCAGAAAGGCTTCTTCTGGACAGAAGTCCTATGCAAGGAGGAGAAACACATGAAGGGATTTATAAATGAATTTCAGGGGAAATCTTCTTCCAATCCCCTACCTCCAACAACCACTCTTCTTCAGCCCTATGCAATCTTCAGTAGGATGTTTTAACACTTCCTACTGGGACTCATATCCTCCTGGGCCTAATAGGGCTATCAAATATAGACCAGCCCCAGCCTGGAGGCCCCGATCTACTTCAGGACAGGGAAACCAATCCCCCACCAGGGTGAAAATAGATTAAAAAGCACCTACCCTTCGGTGTCTTCTGGCCAGCAATGACAAGAGACCAGTGGCCTGGTGCTGGCAAGGCGCAGGAGTGGTTGGAGGAACAGGCCACGCCTCCTCAAAATGGCCACCTCTGGCTCTTGGATCAAAATGGCAACCCGGCCATGAGGTCCTCCAAAATGGCCACTTCAGGCCACGAGGCTGCCTGCTTCACCAGGGAGCCCTATGGAGGGATCCCTAGCCTTTCGCTGGCCCCTAGATGGCAAGGGCAGCTCCTGGGATGGCCAGTTGAACTGCAGCCTTCCTCTTCACCACAGAAGCTTGTAAACAGCCCTGTGGCAACGGAGAGAGTGGGCAGAAGCCCCTACCCTCAAAAATGGCAGTCCGGTCGATCGACAGCCTCCTCTTAAGCGCGGAGGGCCACAAACAGACCGCGGCCCACTGCAGGCTGCTCCGGACCCCCAGAGCAGCTCTCAGCTATTGTGCATCTACGGAAAACAGCCAAGAAGCAGAGCCGCAAAAATTCAAAAAGCCAACTTTTCAACGCTTTTTTTCCTTTTGAAACAAGTAAGGCTGCCTTTGGAAATACAAAGGCAAGAGAGGCAGTGACTTGCATCCATCCTGGCTGAGGACTGAGTCAAAAGCTGGGAGGAGCTACCCAGAGTGGGCAGAGCTAGGCTAATAAGCCTTTTAGACAGACTTAGTCCAAGCAGCTAGGACAAGAGCAACACCCTCTCCTGACCTGTCGTAGCCTTACAAGGGAGAACAAGGGAGGAAATTGTAGTAGCAGTTAATAAATATCAAAATATTTGAAAGCAAATATTTTGTTCTAATAATGATTTAATCAGAGAAATAAAAAATAGTATATATGATTATATAAATATTTCAGCAACTTTTATGGCATTCAAATGAGTCCTAACTTTTCAAAAAACAAACAAAAATAAATGACTTATTCATGTAGACACTGCTGTATGTTATTTCAAATGTCTTTGAAAACTCAAAAATACATTCAGTTTTTATATTTTATTGCAAAGCAGAACACAAATTTTATTAGCAGTAAGAAACTGAAAAGTGTACTTTTATCTCATACTAAGTTAAACTTGGACAAAGAGAGGAATTTAAATAAAAGCATAATGTTTTGCCAATGAAATGAAATGAAATCTTGAAGTAGAGCCAATCCTAGGTCAGTGCGAAAGAATTCCTTCAGCATGTGACTAAATTCCTGAAAAGACCCAGGTTTCAATGAGAATTACCTTACCTAACAATCTGCTTAACAAATTAATGTGGGTAAACAAACAACAAACCTATCTATGATTTATATTATATCTACTATCAAGATATTTCATGCTTTTAACAAATCAATTCCACAAGATAAATGATTAACCGAGCCCAATTATTTTATTAAAATAGTAATGGGGGCTAACCTAAATACTGTTACAACACAGAAAACCTTGCAAACAATAGCTTGGGGAACTTATTCAGAAAATTAATTTTTCAGTTCAGAAGAAAACCACTGCGCCCATTTTCACCTGTACCTAAAACAAGATCATAGATTGAAAGAAGATACTGAAATCTGAATTAAAGGCTTCAAAATGCCTTTAATGTACTCTAAGTTTTGAACAACACACACATTCAAGTAACTAAAGATTTTATAGCAGCATTCTCCAAACTTTAATTTTGGAAATGTTGTTTTGTTTTGTATTGTATTTTGGCTTTGCTAGTTGAGTAAATCATACCTATTTGGTCAAACAATTGTGTAAGTCGAGAAAACAAATTATTTCAATATTTAGGTTGAGTGCATTGTTTGAACTTGGCCAAGATATAATATCACACAAACTAGGGTTTTTTTTTTTTATTCTAAGATTTATAACAGGGGTCTTAAAACTCAACAGCTTTAAGACTTGTGGACTTCAACTCACAGAAGTCCTCCTCCAGTCATATTAGCTCAGGAATTCTGGGAGTTGAAGTCCACAGTCTTAAACTTGCCAAGTTTGAAACCCTTAATTTATAACATGATGAATAGGATATATCTGGCAGTAAAATTTAAATTACAAACAACCTGACAATCTAAAGTGATTCTTGGTATTAAGTATATTTATTTTATTTATTACACGGGTTTACTGAATGTCCTACTCCAACTTAATCTAGGTGCCTTTCTAATAAAAAAAGTCAGAACAGTAAAAAGAAGCAGGCGATACATGACTAGAAATACCATATAAAACAATAAAAATAAAGCTTACAAAGGCTCATCCAATTACCCTGTCTGAAGGTTTGGGAGAACAGCCAAATTTTCACGAACCTTTGGAAACATCAAACATATGTTATCATCAAGCGTTCTTTTGCTCAGATGCCCTGTTTAGACAACTACTTAATCTTAATTCATTACTTTGACAACATTACATTCCATCCCTAACTTGGAACATCAGAGACAAAATATACCATGCATCTGTGCACACAGCAATCCAAAACTCTGATGGCACAGCATTCCACATCCTGTGGAAATCTCTCTATATGCAGTCCAACAAGAAATCTGGCAGTACATAGAGATGCTGTGAGAAAGGCTATGTTCGAAGGACTGCATCAGGGCGGAGCTGTTCTGTCCCAAGCACATGGCCTGAGGATGCTCTGATAAAATAATTTCCAGGCAGCGCTTCAACAATCAGTCCTTTCCAGACTTCAACTTCTCTTCACTAAAGGAAAATTTCTGCTGATTTATTTATTGTAAGGAAAAATGTGCTACATATTTGGCTGTTGTCCACCTATATGACTAACTGATTTGGCTTAAGTGTTGTGTATTTGAAATTCAGGACAAATTAAAAATAGGACTATTTCTCTTGGATTAAGTTACAGATATCAACTTTGCTGTTTGGCACTCTTTGGAATTCTCATATCAGTATAAATAAAAGCTGCCACCACACAGCAGACTGGGATATTTACTGCTGGTAAACAAGATGTGCTTTTAATCTGGCAAGTCTTACCCCCCCCCCTTCAGATGTTCTAATCATGCTCCCATTTTTCCAATTTAAAAAGCTTATCACTTAAAAAAAAACAATCAATAATACAAATGCCTGCAAAGTTTGAGTCAGGTAGATTGTCAGCAGACTCAACAAATAACAATTTTAATACTGTTATTCCATAGCACTTTTGTTTGTGGTTCTCTGTGCCTACGAATACATACACAAGACATTCACTGTGACAGTGAAGTGAAGGGATAGGACATTGGTACTTACCTGATACACCCATTCTCTTTGAGCTGTGAAGAGCACCCAGTGGTGGGAGGTGCTTCCGTCTTTGCACGTCTAGGCTGGGCTTAATTTCTGGAACGCTCCTCCTCCTCCACAGAACTCCTCCCCAGCGTTCCGCAGTTTTGGCGAAGACAAGAGAATAAACAGCCTCACCCTCAATGCCTTAACGATTCGTTGGCTGAAACAGGACCCCACCAGACGGAAAAAGGGGTGGGGCTGGATGCTCTTCACAGCTCAAAGAGAATGGGCATATCAGGTAAGTACCAACGCCCTTTCTCCCATGAGCTGTTCAGAGCACCAAGTAGAGGGACATACCAAAGCTTGGCCTGTCCTATGGGAGAGACTCCGTCTGGCTTGGAATCTCTTCCTGGTTCCTATGGACCTGTTGCAGAACTCTTCTGCCAAAGGAAGCCTCAGCGGATGCAAATACATCTATTTTATAATGCCTAATGAAGGGTGATGGAGAGGCCCAGGTTGCGGCTCGACAAATTTCGGTTATTGGTGCCTGCATGGCCCATGCTGCTGATGTTGTGATGCTCCTTGTTGAATGAGCTGTTATGCCTCTGGGGACCTGTAGTGATTCAATCTGATACATTTTCGCTATCGCAGCCCGTAGCCAATGGCCTATTGTGGAAGATGAGACCTTGCATCCCTGAGTGTTTGGCTGAAACGACATAAATAGAGCTTCCGTTTTTCTGAAAGTCGCTGTGCGGTGAATATATATTCGCAATGCTCACTGCACATCAGGCTGATGCCATTGTAGTTCCAACCCTTGGGATGGTCTGGGACAAAAATTAGGAAGTATCAGCTCTTGTGCCCTATAAAAAACTGAGTTAATTTTGGGAATAAACGTAGGATCAGGACGAAAGACCACCCGGTCAGAATGGAAGACACAAAGGTCTTTTCTGATCGACAAAGCTGCCAGTTCTGAAATATGATGAGCGGAAGTGATCGCTACAAGGAAAACTACTTTATACGTCAGAAATTGGAGACTTGACAATTTCAAGGGTTCGAAAGGGTACTTAGTGAGTGCAACAAGGACCTTGTTAAGGTCCCTAGTGAGTTAACGGTGAATCGCTGGCAGGTGTAAATTTGTGGCTCCTCGAAGGAAACTGTATGCATGGGTGATGTGAAAGAGACAGTAGACCCTCAGAAGTGACAACCAATGCCAAGGCCTCCACCTGCCTTTTCAACGTATTAGGTGATAATCCCTTGTCAAACCGCTCTTGTAGAAACTCTAGGGTTTGAGCCACTAGTGGATAGATGGGATCAGTTTGAGATTTAGTATACCATTTGCAGAAACTGGACCACATGGCACTGTAAATGTGGGTTGTTGATAATTCTCTTGGAAAACTTTTTGCTCTTCACACGTCTCCGCTCAACCTCCAGGGTCAGGTGTAACCATTGAGGGTCTAGATGTTGAAGGGGTCCCTGGGTTAGCAAAATCCTGTCCAGTGGAATTCTCCATGGTGTTGATAAGGATACACTGCAAAGGTCTGCAAACCACGGTCATCTGGGCCAGTAAGGAGCTATTAGCAGCAGCTCTGCCCTTTCATCCAGCAGCTTCTGGATGACCTTGGGGATCAGAGGAAGTGGTGGGATGGGCATACAGAAGACCCTGGGGCCAATGGCAGCGGAGCGCGTTGAAGTTCTTCACTCCTTGCGAGGGGTACCTGGAAATGAATCTGGGGAGCTGAGAGTTGAGGGGGTAAGCGAACAAGTCTAATACCGGCTGCCCGAATCTCCTGACCACCTCTTGAAACAAGGTCGGATGGAGGCGCTACTCTGATTGATCAATCGTGGCCTTCTTAGCCAGCCTGCCTGTGTATTCGACAGGCCCGAAATGTGTTCTGCTCTGATGGAAAGTAGGTTGCTCTCCACCCAACGACACAAGCGCTCCGCTTCCTGCATGAGGTGTTTCAACTGTGTGCCCCCATTTGTTTATGTGAGCTTTGGCTGTTATGTTGTCGGTCAATATTAGTATGTGTTGATTGCGTACCTATGGAAGGAAGCTGTGGAGAGCCAGGTGTACTGCTCGAAACTCCAGCCAGTTTAGGCTGCACGACTGTTCTATGGTGGACCAGTGGCCTTGGGCTGTGAGCGATTGAAAGTGAGCTCCCCATCCAAACAGGCTGGCATCGGTCGTGATGGTAAGTCTGTGGGGGGTCTTTGAAGAGAAAACCTCTGTTTATGACTGGTCTGGTCCACCAGTTGAGAGATATGAGGACCTTTGATGGTACCTTGACCTTGTATTTGGAGTTGCTTCGGCCGGAGCGCTGGTACAGGAGCAGGAACCACTGGAAGGATCTAGTGTGGAGGCTGGCCCAAGGAATGATAGATATACATGAGATCATCTTGCCTAACAATTTTGATAGTTCAGCTAGGGGGACCCTCTTAAGATCCCTGATCTCCTTAACTAATTCCTGAATGCTATTTAGTCTATCTGGTGACAGGAAAACTTTGCCTTCCACCGTATCTATGACTGCCCCCAGATGGATTAACCAAGTCGATGGTGTTAAATGACTCTTTTTTCAATTTATTGAGAACCCATGTTGTTGTAGGGATTGTAATGTGTTCTGAGTATCTCTGACTGCTTGATGATTGGAAGATGACAAAATTATGATGTCAACAAGGTAACACTGGAGTCATACAGGGACATCATGGAGATGAGCAGCTAGAGCTGCAAGAACTTTTGTAAAGGTCCTGGGGGCAGAAGCTAGTCCAAAAGGAAGGGCAACATATTTGAAATAACAGAATCTCAAAAAATTATAGTGGGAAGGCCGAATAGCAATATGTAGGTACGCCTCCATCAGATCTACTGAAGTAAGGACTTCACCTTTTCTGATGCTGAGTAAGATAGATTGCAGGGTGTGCATTTTAAACTTGCGATATACTAAGAAACGGTTGAGATGTTTCAGATCTAATATTGTTCTCCATCCCCCCGAACTTTTGGGAACAACAAAAAGATGTGAATAGAAACCCCATCCTCGTTGGTTGGTAGCTACTGGTTGGATAGCTGTTTCCATAAGATTACATTTAACCAGATCTCTGGAAAGAGGACATGACATGAAAAAATCTGGGGGAGTGGATTGAAACTCCAGCACAAGGCCAATCTGATCATGTCTCTGACTTAGAAATCAGAAGTTTAGGAGTCCCATTGGTCCACGAATAATTAAGGCATCCAACAATGGGAGCCGGGTCCAGGGAGTTATCTTGGATGCCGGAAAGACCTGTTTCCTGCTCCTCGAAAGGATCTCTTGGATTGGCCACCCCTTCTGCTCCTATCCCCAAAGTCGGACCTGTCTGGCTGCTGCCCTGGTCTGAATGATGGGGGTCTCTAGTATCTGGGTGAGAAGGATCCCTGATAAAAGGGCCAAAAGGATCCCCTCCAAAAGGACTGAGGGTTTCTAGAATCTGACTTCCAAAAAAGGGAAGGTAGAATTTTCTTTTTGTTTCAGGTTTCGATTAGCAAAGGGTTGAAGGAAGGGCCAAACAGTCTGTCTCCCACAACAGGAGATGAAACCAGCTTGCATTTGTGCTTAATGTCTTCTTGGCAATGTTTTAACCATAGTAAGCGTCACGTTGTGACATGTGAAGTAATGGCCCTGGCTGACAACTTAGCCACATGATAAGTTGCGTCAGCTGAGAATTCAGCGGCTGCTATAAGTTTAGCAATATCTTGGTGTGCCCTAATGTTGGAATTAGGGACATGCTCCCGTAAGAGGCAGAGCCATCTGAGAGAAGAAGGAGGTGGCCGTGGCTGCTCTGATGGCAGGAACCCTGGTCAGAACTACGTGTTGAAGACCTGCTGTGATTCCCTGGCAGATTGCCAGCTCCATCCAGGCCTTCATCCTCTCTGGAACTTCCTCTGGAAGAATGTCGTCCTGTCAAAGACCGGCAGCCATTGGAGTGAATGTAGCTTCGGGAGCCCTTCACATGGTTGGTGTTCAAGGTAACTGGGCCTGTTGGCTCTGGGGAGCCAAGTTGCACCTGGATGAGAGGGAGAGATCTAGGGGAGGAAGAGGGTGGGAAGAGGTAGACGGACCTGGACTGGGGGGTAGAAAGTCCTGTGAGGCCCTGTGCACCTCCTTTGTCACTTATATATCTTCTTTTCTAATGCTTTATGGCACCTGTTGGCATCCTTTACTGAAGCTTTAGAATTTCCTTTAATCTGCTTAGGTTTTTGCTGAGATTTGGCTTTGACCTTCAAGGTTGAAGTCTGAGAGCTACTACCGCCTGCCATTTCGATTGAAGGAATTACAGTATGCTCATTATTCAATGCAATACTGTGAAGGTGGTTGGCATACCCAGGGGCCTGATCTAAGGACAGACCGGTTGCCCTGATGATGTTTTATTCCCTCCCCTTTTTAATACCTATCTATAATGAGCCATATCTCAGTAATAATATTTTATTGATATAAAAATATTATACTGAATATATATTATTATTATTATTATTATTATTATTATTATTATTATTTTACTATTATTATTATATAATCACTAATATATAGCTATATATATATGGATATCAAAGAAATAGCACAAAGCTAAAATTATTGAAAATCCAAACAGCCAAAACGCCTAAAGGCCCAAGTTGATGAAGGTAGAGGCCTTCAACAGCTTCCCTGCACAGGTGGACAGAGGCCTAGGTGCTCGCTGTTGTGCCGCTGGGTTGATTAGGCTGTGAGGGTTAAGCCAACAATTTAAATGTACAGAGAGCCTCGAATGTAGTAAAAACAAGACGATAATGATCCCAAGTGTTCCTAAATGATCCCAAGTGTTCCTAAAGAGAAACCTCTGCTCGGGAAAATAAATACCTCACACAGCACGAAATGAAATACAGTCAGCGTGGCCACGAGGTCTTTGCTAAAAAAAAAAAAAAAAAGTGGCCTCTGGCTGTTAACCTTTTGGCGCGCTCTTCAGCAGCAAACTCCCACCGCATGGAGGAGTAGCCTCTGAGGGCTTCTTCTATAAGGCTAAACGGTGGGGAAGGGTGGAAGGAACTAAGCACTTAAATCTTCCACTCCCAGGCAGCGTTCAGACGGGGGTAAGAGAGCAATATGACTCTGTTGTGAGCAAAAAAGCTCACACCGCTGTTCAGATGTAATAAACTCTGCGGCTATCTATCAGAATGGCAGGGGTAGAAAGAGCGGTTATGGGAAGGGGACGCAGAACAACACCGAAGCCTCCCTCTACTTTGGGGCACGAATCAGCGCTTCCCTATAGTGCAAGCGACTTCCGACTGCCTGATGTTAAAGAGCCAACATCGAGCAATCATAATGCGATTAGGAGGCTAAAGAGTCCTAAAGACAAACTGGTCAATTTTCATACCTGCTAGTAAAAACGAATTTTCCTGTTTCGGCCAAGGAAGAATCACAAGCACTGCCTATCCCTCATGAGGCTGAGCCAAAACTGGGGAAGGCTGGGGAGGAGTCCCGTGGAGGAGGAGGAGCGTTCCAGAAATTAAGCCCAGCCTAGACGTGCAGAGACTGAAGCACCTCCCACTACTGGATGCTCTGAACAGCACATGGGAGAATGCACAATCACAAGTATGTGGAGACAGCTTGGACTGACATTCAAACCAGCTATTATGTCCTGCTTTACCAATCTTACCAGAAATGCTTCTTCTTTCATATACCAGAAATGCCTCTTTCAAATGTTTTGCAGAATCCTAGTAAACAGTCAACAAGAATAGGAGTACAAGTCCCAATACAATTATAAAGTTGTATCTAATACCATGATATATTGAAAAATATACTATTTTAGCAAGGCATTTAGTAAATAAGTACTTTCTGTCCTGGATCTTGTTTAGCTTTATTATTATTATTATTATTATTATTATTATTATTATTATTATTATTACTCTTATGCTTTTTTTTTTTGGAGGGGGAAGAGAAACAGATATTACTTTGTAAATGACATTAAGTCTCTTAGGGGTTTCAGCTATACTTTCTGTTTATTTCAATTAACTAAGAAGTACAATCCAAGGAGACTTGATTGAGATTGGGGAGCGCACATATCTTCATGCTTTGGATTCAGAGTCTGGACAAGTCTTTTTTAAAATTTGGCAACTTTTAAGATGTGTTGATTTCAACTCCCAGATTTCCTCAGCCACCATGCTAAGAAGCCCACATATCTTTAAGTTGCTAAGTTTGAAAACACTGGTGTAGACTCTAGGCATGAACTGCATATAAGCTGTTCCTTTTTTTCCCCCATTACTTTATTACAAAAAAGAGACATAGAGAAGAGACATGGACCTCCTTGCCACCCAGTTAAGTCATCAGGACAAAAAATTAAAATTAAAAATTATTGTTCAATTATAGTCAAGAGATTTCTTTACAATCCCATATATGTTTGCTAGGAAACTAGCTCTACTAAAATCAATAAACACAGTAATGATTATGCTGTTCACTGGTTATCTGTTATACATGAACTGCTTTCACAGAAAATGTGATTTACCGGGAAAGAAATACACTGAAAAACATTGGAAATTGTTTTTAAACATCTCATACAAATCAACAATTCATGGATTGCAGGTTTTAGTTTTTATAACCCAGGTTTTTTTTAATTTCAGGAATTAGCAAAACAGAAAGAGATGAAAAATTTGGTCATACAAAAACATTAAAATCCTCTAAAATGGAAGGTCTAATATACTACTCCAACTATTTTTAAGTAACTTTGATTCCAAAAAGTACTTAAAAGAATAATATGGAAGCAAATGTTTACTCTGAGTAGGTTCAAGGGCTCTCTTCACTTGTCAATTTGAAAAAGGAAAGTTCCCACTTGAATTCAATGCTAAACCTTGACAGCTATTTGGCTAGCACAAACTCAGCCTTTGTAATGTTTTCTTTAATGAGATAAACCCTGAACATTTAAGAGCCATAGGCTCATTCTAGGGTTGCAGTGTGACAGATGGAGTGAGTAAGCAAAAAGCCAAAGCTTAAGCTTCTACTGTCTTTAAGATGGAGGAAGCTGATCCACTACATCTCATAAGGTTGTCTTTTTTTATTTTTAATGCATTTATGATGGAAAGGAATCTGCAATATGCCATAAAGAGCAACAGGCAGAGATATCAGTGCCTGCTCACTGGTGCATATTGTGATTTATGGAATTTAGCTATCAATATAACTAACATTCATTGGCTTCTGAGTAATTCAAGTTACGATGAACATGGTTGCTGCTCTTTTAACTGTTTATGTGATTCTTAGAAAATAAAATCCCTGAAACATATTTTTTCTTTCTAATACTGTGTTTTCCCAAAAACAAGACCCTGTCTTATATATATTTTTGCCACCAAAAAAGGCATCAGGTCTTATTTTCGGGGGATGTCATCCACTGACTAACATCACTTGCGCACGTTGCCCCAGGTTCCTTTCTGTTGTCAGAGGCCTTCAGAAACTACTTCTTCTGTGGCTGGCAAGGCTTTCCTGAAGACCTCTGCAGCTGATAACAGAGCTCCAGAGTGATCTGGGGTTCTGTTATTAGCTGCAAAGGCCTTTAGGAAAGACTTACTGGATGCAGAAGAAATGGGCTGGCAAGGCAGATGTTGGGATGTGCAAAGGCTGGCTACAACCGTCCAAAAGCAAGTAGTAGGGCAGCTTTATCCCCCCATCCCCACACTAGCTTAATTTTTCCCCTTGCACTCTGGAGTGGGCAGGAGTGGGCAGGAGCTTAATTAGGGCTTATTTTTGGGGGAGTAGGGCTTATATTGGGCGCACGTGTAAAAATATCAAGCTAGGCCTTACTTTCAGGGTAGGTTGTATTTTCAGGGTATATTGCCAGCATTCTTGCAAGGAATTCATAACAACCTTAACCCTATTAAAGCTCCAAAAATGCAATCAATTTCTACTGATTTGCTGGTAATGATCTGTGTATTGTGGAACAGTATGTCTATGAAGATCAGTCTGACTCCCTTTTTGCTACAATTTTGTCAGTTATTAAAAATCAATCTGTTTCAGAGAACCTTGCCCTGGGGTTTTGTTTGAAATTGTCATATTTTTTATTTTCTTTCTATTCTTGCAATGGAATACTTTTATTCTTAGATAGGGCTTGGTTTATACTGATTTTTTTCTATATGAGCCTTTAAGATTTGCTCACTTTTATGGTGGCACAGAAAATATGTTTAGTAAATTTAGTAATAAGTGGTTTTAGTTACAATTTCACCTTGATATATGCCCAAGCCTGGATGTACATCACCCACCAACCTACCACCACAAGTTATGGATCACTGTCATCCGTATCATCCATATCACAAACAAGAGAACTAATGTTCCAAAGAGAGTGATTCAGCTATGAAGCTTCCATAGAGATAAGATTTCCTGCATTGTATCAATTGTATAATCAGAATTAGAACCAGATTAAAGGTTAATGGCTGGGTAGCAAGATACTTCAGTACAAGTAGACACCTAAGCAAGGTTCCCATTACTATTCTTATTGTTTGCGCAATAAATTTGTTAATGCAATAAAATTGTTATTAAGCATCCTTCGGTCAAATGATAATACAACATCAGGACATCATAATTCAAAATATAAAGTATCACCTGTCACTATTCCACCTATTCTATAACTAGCAAAAGTGAGCAACATCTCAGGTGATAGTTTTTCAACTGAATCTGGAACCTTCTTCATTCAAAACATTGGCTGGTCAACTCATGATCAATGCTTTCTCATACAAATCCACACCTATCTATCTTGCAGAACAAAATATACATCCTATATTTGTCCTAATATATTAAATAAGTGATACCTATGAATGTTGCCAAGCTCTGAAATGAGCACAGCTGATAGTTCTGCCATTTGAGAGTCCTGCTCAGAAAGTGTAAAATATTCTAAAAATAGCAAAAGGATATTGAAATATATCTGTCTCATAATTCAAATGTACTTCTAAGCAATAATTAGAAACACATTTTGTTTTAGAGTTTGTTCACTTTTGTAAGCCTACAGAGATTTCAAAAGGTTTCTTTAATACATATTGTTTGATAAACTTGTCGTAGTGTTTTCATAAAGACAGAATTTTTTGTTAGTTCATTTATTTATTTTTACCTAAGTCCACATAACATGAAAATCTTTCTAGTATAAAAGGGTAAATTTTAGAACAATTTGTTATTGGTTATGTTGTCATGCATTCCATTAAATATATTTAACAGATTAATATGTTTTCATGCTAGAATGTTAGTACAATAAATACAATTCAATAAATGACTCATCACTAAACTTTTTTGTTCATGATATGGAATATATAATTTATTATTATTACAAAGTAAAATCAGATTTGCCTCAGCAGACAGGCTAATTTCTTTTAAGTGACAGATGCATTTACAGGAAAAAAATGTACTAAATAGTTTTCAATTAGCATAAAAATATTTACAAAAGAACATAAAATGAGTGTTTTGTTTTACAGTCAAATGTGACTATTAACATCAGTTAAAGGATTCTCAATGATTCTTAATCATAAACAACACAGATTAAACCTGTATTTGGCATCAAATTTTAAGTTTGATAAACTTGGGATTCACAGCCTACATTTTAGCTAATGACTTTCCAATTAGGCTACAACAAATTGCTCTTTTGCTTTAAAAATATGTAAGAAATCTGGGCTACTACTGAATATGACCACCTGGACAGGATCTGTCATGTTTCACCTATTTTGAAACAGCCGAAGTGGCTGCCAATCCATTTCCAAGAGCAATGCAATGTGCGGTTCTTAGCCTTTAAGTAGCATAGTGTGATTATCTCAGGCAACATGTCTTCTAGTCCTAATTGTGTGAATGTATATAAACTACCCAGGATTGATTTAGCAGAGTAATATACAATTTTTTGTAATTAAATAGTAACTTTCATCAAACTCAGGTGATACTATTATACTCATATATTCATGACATTTTAGTAATCCTATGTCCTAAACTTAAGATTTCATATAAGAATTTTGAAACTGCCTTGGTTTTAAGAGATCTTGAAATTATTTTAAGAGATATTTTGAGATGTTGACACTCTGCTGTGAGACTTTACACCTTTGCAAAAGTGCTGATCTCTTTTTCCAGCTCTTGTTATTTACTTTATTTGTGCTTGTGTGTTTATCTATCAGGATTTATATATCATCATTTGGTACAAAATCTGTTCCATTTGAATCTGCTGGAGTCTTTCAAACTTGTTTGCTAAAATAGCAAAGAAATAACTTCCTTGCCTGAATAAAATATGTACTTATCCAGTGACCTCTATATCTTCTTGTATATGACACTTTTTATTGGAAAAGACAGTATTCTACTTGGAAACATTTATTAATACAGACTTGTACCTAGATTTCCACAAGGGATATGGGGGAAACCGAAAGATTAAAGATTTCCTCAATTGGGGAACAAGAGGATATTCATAGCCAAAGATTACAACTGAGTTAATGTCATTGTTTTGTACGGAACAATGCTAAAATCAGGTAAAATCACACCTCTCTTCAGGCATTCAATATTAAAGGGCTCTCTCTAAGTTACTAACAGTAGTAACTGTGAGAGGGATCTTGGAGTCCTAGTGCAGAGAAAGAGTTCAGAGAAGAGCAACAAAGATGATTAGGAACTGGAGGTTCTAAATATATAAAGAACAGTTGCTGAAATTGGGTGTATCTCATTTAATGAAAAAGAAGGACTAGGGGTGATATGATAGGAGTGTCCCAATATCGCAGGGACCATCACAAAGAAGAGGGAGTCAAGCTATTCTCCAAAGCACCTGAGGGCAGGACAAGAAGCAATGGATGGAAATCATGAAGGAGAGAAGCAACCTAAAACTAAGAAATTTCCTGACAGTTAGAACAATTAATCAGTGGTAAAACTTGTCTCCAGAAGTTGTGAATGCTCCAACACTGGAAGTTTTTAAGAAGGAA